GGAAACTAAAGAATCCTAATTTTTATTTAGCCAAAGCCACTTAGCAAAGAAACCAGGTATTTTCTTTTGTTTAAAGCTGGGTAAATGATTCTTTTCCTTATGAAAAAAAAATCTGTAGCTTATCATGCAAAGCCAGTTATATACGTCAATTTCTTGTTTAAACACTTTTCTTTCTGAATGGTTTCGTTCCAGTTATTCTTACGCTACATCACCACAAGCATCTGTTTTACAGCATCTGTAGCTTTAACAAAGGATAATCGGTGGCTGTATGGCCTTTCGAGAATAGACAATGTGACCTATAATTTTGCCCTAGTTACTTAAATTTGACTTTCTTCTGAGCTTTTAAAAAGTTAAAAAGTTGGGATTGGCAGTAATCTGATTACAGTAAGGCGATGCAAGTTTACGGTCGCTTTGGGTCCCCTAAACTCTCTACTTTATAATTTAAAAAAAAATAGCTTTTTTAAATATTTGTACCCTTAAAAATACAGAAAAAAATGTTGCATTACCTTGTTATGTTCATCGAAACTTCAAACTTCAACTGAAACAAATTCTCATACAAAGCATCTAATACATACTTTTGCTTTGACACCCTGCTAGACGAGATCTTTCGAGCCATTAGCTATGAGCGTCATAAGTAATAATTGCTGACAAACTGGGGCTCAGGCTTGTCTGGAAGCTAACATGTGAAAGGGCTCCAGAAATGAAGGTATGGGAGGACAGACACCATTGTAGTTACCAGAACTCCAAGCCTTAGGAAATAATTTGTGTTATTGGCCCCACATAAAATTTTCTCGGAAATACCAAAAGTGTAACTTAGCTTGATGTAAGCTTTCTGACTTTCTAATGCGTCTAAACTGGGTTTCTCATCCCAGGGGGGAATTTCTTCCTAGATGAAATTTCATAGTTTTAGGTCAATGCGATCAGACTTTTATATGGCGGATAAGTATTTAGTTTTAGTTTATGAATATATATAAAAAAACACTTTTATTCAAGTTTTGGTATTTACCAAAATTTTCTGTACATTTTTATTTAATTTATAAAACACGTTAGAAAATAATCTAACTCTAAATAAATATATACGTATATATGTGTATTTTTCAAGTTTTAGAAAGGAGGGGGAGAAATGATTTTCTAGCAATGGTGACAGGTGCTTGCGGCAAGAAAGATTGAGAACCATTGGTCCAGGCATTGGTAACTATACACCAAAATTTATATAGATAATTAATTTATCTACGTAGATTTCATGATAGCTGTTTAATACATATATAAAATAAATAATAAAGTAAATAAAATGTCTTTTCTTCCCTTCTTTTAGTTTAAAAATTCCCGTTTCTTCCCATCACAATGTTTTACAAATGAGACTTTTTTTTTTTTTCATTTTTCTATTTGTTAGAATATATGATTAATTTCTAACTCTTCGGATGCACAGTAAGTTCAATGCTTGTTTTAATATATATAATTTTCGGGAAAAATATCTTTCTTCTTATAAGTTATTTACCTAATAACGAAAGTAATTTTTTATTGATAATGTAATATTATTTGGTATTATTAATAAAATGATTAGGAATTGTTACAAATATATTTTTCATTTCTCACATCACGCAGAGAAAGGATGCGAATCTAATGAACATAATGAATGATTGCAATAGTGAAATCTGATTTGATATACTCTTAATCCAGTCGTGGGCATTCGTCTAAGAGCCGTTGTGATGGAACAGTCGTTGTAACATGTGGTCATGGATTTTACTAACGTTTCCGGTATTTCTGTCTTAGAATTGAGCTATATAGAAATTTATCTTCGAAATCAGAGAAAAATTAAAGGCGATAGATAGATAACAATAACCTATTTTACATAAAAAGCGCTTCAAAAATGTTTCAAGTAGCAAGCATTAACAAATATAGCTATTAACACAAAAAGAAAACAAGTGCAAGTATTCGCAACGAAATCTTAGTTCAAAGTATGTTATTTTTGATTTCGATTCGAAAATAAATAAATGTCTAAAATTAGAATTGGTTGAGGGATTATATAAGTTATCTGAATCAAAGTAATGTGTAAGAATCATATGATAACTATGAAGTTTGAAATGGCGCAGTTTAGAAAGCTTTATAATGAGCAACTAGTTCAGTCTCCAAATCTCTAACGACTTAAAAACTCGCTACGGTATAAATATCGGTAAACCTGAATGAATTCAAATTTTAACGTCGCCCTAGAAGATTTGTTAAGGTTCTTTAAACTCCCGCTAAAGCATATCGCAGGTACCAGTCTGTTCTTAGACTCACTTACGCTAACACATTTTTGGGGGAGGTCTCTTTTTAGCTCTATTACTAAGCATTGGTTTCTTTCCACTAAAGCCACATAAATTTCAAAAGCAAAATCATCAAATATTTAAAATCAGAATATCTTTAGAATTCCCGACTGAGCGTTTGGAATTGCCATACATTCCTTCAAATTCGCTATATTATTTCTTTGAAAACTTGCCTAGCCGCTCAAGCTGTCAGCCGCCTAAAAGATTTCTCGTAAGAAAGGAAAAAGTGTATAATTATTTCATAAAGCCAGCCTTTATAAAAATATTTAATATTTCTAATTAGGCATCTTGTGAATTAAATGCATTTTTATTTAAATCAACTAGATTAAAAAGCAAAAAAAAAAAAAAAAAATTTAAAGAACTGTGTTTATAGTGTTTCCATTACTTGGTTTGCTACTCAGAAACAGAAAGATTAAATTTGAAAATTACATATCTTAGGGTCTACTGAATGACAACACGCTGGAGAGCGGAGGTAATAAGTGCTCTAGAGGAGAGAAGGTAGCAACACATTGTTTTCAAACAGCCAAATTTTGGGATTAAGACTGAAAGATACACATTTAACCAAATAGAAACAGTTTGGCGAGCTGGAGACAAAACTGTTTTAGTTCCAGCTGTGTTGCCATTTCTCTCTTTCAAATCTCTGAGTTTATTAAATAAAAATTCGTTAAACTTGTGCAAAATTTGAAATAAATCAAAACCAAATTCGAAATTCAAAACTATGGCTTCAAGATGCCCATTCCGAGTTAAGAATTATGTGTATTAAAAATTCTGTAGCTCTAAGTGCCGTTATTTCTCCATTGGTGGCAACCATTTGAAAAGTGACTTAAGCACAAAAGTGGTACAGACAAAAATGTTTCGAGACTAATATCACCTCTTATGCAAAAAAGGGACAAGGGACAATTAAAAACATTAAATTATATTAAAATTATAATTATCATTTTTAAATTACTAAAATAATATTCAGTGAATAAAGTTGACAAAATATGCGATGCAAAGTGTTCTCCCAGTAGCTTAAAAATATGAGCATGTAGAATGTAACTTATAAAAACGGGAAATTCATTAAATTCATCATATGTCATTCATAATCGTAAGTTTCTTATTTTAGAATTCCTCTCTTGAAGTAGAATCAATACTGGTGGTTGAGTACTGATAGTATTTGTTATTAGAATATCAAACTATTATTTGAAATGTTCTATTACATATATTGCTACTATATTCAAAATTTATTAGAATCTTCGATATTTTGATTTTTAATAGTATAACAATTTTCAGGCAAACTCTTGTTAGCGTGGTGGTTTGATGGTAGGAAGCAGGCTATCACAGCCTTGGATTCAGCCTTGAATTCCAAGTATGATAAGAATGTTTATACATGGTTAGCATCTCTGCAGCATGTAGCATATAAAACACTGTCGAACTGAAAGTCCTTTCAAGTTGGTGCTAGGAGAAGACGATAAGAGATACTTCTCGATACTTAACGATAAATTGTTTAGGACTTCTCGATCAAAATTAAGACGGAATTTTTCAAAATCATATCATATTGTCCTGCATAAGGCGCCTATGACCTCTTGCCCACGATAAAATTCGCGTATCTGATTTGGCTGTAAGTTCAGAGCAGGAGGATAGAAACAACAACACTAAGAACAGTTTTTCAGTAACGAAACTTTTCATTTAAATATTATATGCATTAATGAACGCAGAAGTTATCTCTTGAAGAGAGATTTACATCCGAGTTTTTCAATTTACATATTACACTGAAATCCCATTTCTTCATAATATTTCTTTTATTATCATAACTAACGACTAATTAATATAAAAAGGAAAATAAATGTTGGTTTAAAAATCTTTTCGAAATAAATTATTAACTAGCAGTAATATTGTGTGCCGTTTCTTTAATTGGGTATACTGAAGTATGAAATTTAGTTTTCCCAATAATAACGTAATGTTGAATTCAGTCATTCATATTAAGTTAAGTTGAAATCATATTTTATATCTTGAAAAGACGGTAGGTTTTCAGGAAACTTGATAAATGATTTCGAATCATTACTTTCAGTTTATAGCTGGATGTGTTAGCATTTATACATAAAAGCCCACTTAGAGAAATGCGATAATTCTTTATATTCTTTCTACTTACTACTGGAGAGAGGCACGAGATTCAGTCGTCCATAATGTTTTAATTTGGGCCTGACTATAGAGTTTATCAGGCTCTTCGGATTCAGGAAATAAGAGAAATCTATTATGCCCTTACCTGAATTCAAACCCGTCTCTACTAATTATTAGCTGGACTTGTTACGTTTTACACTATAAGAGGATCTGCGAGAGGAAAATGCGAAAATTTCTTATATTCTAATCATCACATTTATACTATTTCTCTTTGAAGTGAATTCTTTTTTTTTCTCTCTACATATCTAAATAACTGGTATAGTTCTGACTGGTATAGTTCGCCAGATGATGAAGAGGAATATTCTTAAAAATTGTGTTGTGCTGTGAAACGAACCATTGAGTAACACGACAGGACTTAATAACTCCAAAATCTGAGAGATGATTCTCATGTCAAAGAAGTTTGGAATTCAAGGAAGGCTCCATTAAAACAAAAATCTGTACTTTAGAAATGCATGATAGATTTTCAGAAACGATTTTAAAATAAGATTTTATTCTATTAAACATATTTAAATAGCGCTGAATAAAGATACTTACTCCAGAATATACATACACCTTTTTGGATCCGTGTTTTCCTTCCATTTTCTCCTTCATGCGCTTTAGAAATAAATTTAAAATCGGGCCTAAAACAGAAAGCTGGATGAGCTGGAAATGTAATGCTAAAAATATCTAGAATATAGGATTATTAGAAGAAAAATTTTAAAACTAAGATTTTGGATTTTAAAGCTCAATCGTTAATGGATATCATAAATTTACGTAAATACAATGATATTTTGGATTATATTCTTAAAAGAAATATAGAATAAAAAACAGGTTTAGTATATTCCCAAAAATTTTCGTGACGATTATCTCTCTAACCTCTCTTCCTAGCGATTACCTCCATCGTTAAAAGTATACGGTATTTCAAAGAAAACATTAATATTGATATTAAGTAATTTTAATATTATTTTGAGATGATCATCACTTAAACCCTTTTCTTTTATTATTTGTTTATTTTTGGATTCTTTTAACTAATATCTTATAGAGCAAAACTAATTTACGCTTTTAAAAAAATCAATGGTTCCCATTTATAAGCCTTACAATTATATAATCTTGATTCGGTGTTTGTGATAAAAGAGTTTTTTTTTCCAGTCTCTTTTTAAACTGAATTCAACCATTTTGTTTTCATTTTCTGCTTATATAATTGACAGCATACAATAAATAAGTGTTCAGAAAGCACCAATTCTGTTTTTTGCGTTCTTAGTAAGTGGAAAGGAAACATTAAATCTTGATTAATGTCAGAATAAAATGTTTGTATTAGGTTGATGTGAATGTTCGTCCTAAAGTTTAGATGAAAAGAAGAGTGTATAAAAGAAAATGTAACTTGCATATGTAAGTAACTTGCATATGTATATTCACATAATTCCGAGTATTTAGTATGACGTTTGCTATCTGCCTTGTTATAGATTAATCCCTCATCGATAAAAATCCTTTGGTTTAGAATTAAAAAATATCTTATAATGCTGTTTTCACATCTTGCGCATCATCCAAAGTCTGAAAGGCTAAGGAATTCTGTAACGTTTAAAAAAGATGGCAGTTCGAAGGAATAGGAAAAAAGTAAAGTAAAGTCTGGGGTACTAAATAAAACTTGCTAGTCAAAGTCGAGTAGCCTTTTTCCGAGTGACTAAAGCAGCATGATGATGTCTGGAATTTTCATACTGAAAGATAATACCTTGGCGAATGGCAAATTCCCTTTAGATATCAGTGGCCGTTTACATATTAATTTTTGTTGTCATAACAACTGGCAACACAGTATGTCCAACTGTTGGCATAACAGGTCAACACTAACGGTTTGTTTACGTGGGAGCTATTCTCTGTGAATTATTCCTTTCTTGTTATACCCTTAACAAAGCCTTTTCGGAATGCTGTCCTTTTCTTGATGTGAGAGAAGCAAGTTGCTATACGACACTGGCACTGGTAACATTTGATATTGGGGTCAGCAAAAAAAGTGGTCTTCAAACTGTGTTTCGCAAAACCTCCAGGTTCCGCAAGTCAAATCTCAGGGTTTCATAAGTCAAAATAAAAATTCGGAAAGAAAACTGTAAAACTGTCGCGTTAGTTGACTAATGATAATTAAGTAAAAAATATAAAGATACATTTAGTTACAAATTAGTTTTTAAAAATTAATATGTGGTCATCATACGTCTAAGATAATGACGTGCAATGCTTTGCAAAACTAAATAGTTTTCTAATAGAAAATGAACTGAATTTGGACAACAGTGTTAAAATTTATACAATGCAGCATCTTTTTCAATTGAAGAAAATTAAAAGAGACTATTTCCTAGAAGAAAAACCTAACTATGACTGGATAAAAGAAATCCATTCGAGTATTACGATAAGTCAAAAGGTGTGCCAGTGAACAATTTATCAACAAATTCGATACTAAATTTAAGGGGACTCGGTACCCCAAAATCAATGAAATTACCGATTTTTCAATTTTTTGCTGAAAAAGTACCTTAATACCGTTACTACACTGAAGAGAAATTTTGACATGATCTGACGATAATAAATTCTATAAAAAAGGTTTTTACAATTTTGACTCTTCTTTAATTGGCACAACCCCTCAGTGTTTATTCATTTTTTACTTCTCAATTTTTTCAGTAACTTACTAAAAATCAGTAAATGAAAAGGAGTGTAATTAAATATGACTCCAGATATCAAAAAACTTTATGTGTATATACTAAATTGTTTAAATACAAATTAAAGTTGGAAAAAATCTTTTTTTTTCACCTTTAAACTGGCAAGTTTATATATTTATACTGAGCTCAGCAAATAATTTTATGTGTATTATTAGTCAACTTTGCTATGCTTATTCAAAAGTTGAAATTATCTGTGATTAGATACGAACAGAAAGAGGAGGTGTAATGAAAGTGTTCAAATTTCTGGCCGTAGCATTATTGAAATAATGCTGGAACAAACATTAAACTCTTTAATTAATTAAAAATGCAATTTATACACAGAAATTAATTTAAAATGCAATTTATATACGAGAATAAATGGCTAAAATAAGAGACGAAATCACATAAGCTGCTCAGTGGTTTTAAATAAAATGTTTTATTTTCGTTAAAATTTCAAATTTTACTTAAAAAATGAATAAAACGACAAGTTAATGTTATTAATAATGATTATAAGCATTTTATAAAATATATTATAATTAATTCATGCATGAAAATTGTTTTGAGCGTGTTTTAAAAAACAAAAACAGGTAAAGGAAAATTCTACTTGCATTTTATGGTATTTTTGCAATATTTCTAGCAAAATTTTAAACAAAAACTTGTAATTTATGTTCATATTAATTAATTGAGCAGTACTAAATTTTATTATATACATATATATTAAAATTCAGTAATAAAATTTTTAAGAAATTTGAAATGATTTAATGACCGTCCACACAGTTTACATTCTTTAAACTGTGATTTCTCCGTTTGGCAATTTTTCAATATCCTTTTACTTAAAGTCCTAAAACTTGTTCTGATATGGACCAAATTATTTAAGAATTTTACTGCTTATTTAAAATTATATACTAAATAGAATCAAGGATGGAATTTGCAAAATAGTGAAAAGAAAAATTATTGGAAGTAAAAACGTCACTGAAATCATATTTTTTTAAAGTTTTTATATAAAAATGTGCTTTTTATTTTTTTCTCAGAAACTAATTCATTAAGTGCAAAATCGATCCGTTAAGTTATTAAAAACATCATTATAAATGCAATAAAAAATTTGAAGCAAATTATTGAAAATTGTGGAAGAACAAAGAATTTTAATTGTTCAATTTTTTAAAAAAATTCAAATTAAACAAAAATCAATAGCAAAAAATTTTTTTTCAGCTTAAAACTATTTTGCCTCATAAAACCACTTAATATTATTCATAAAAAGTAGGTGAAAGGTCTTAAATAAATAAATAAATAAATAAAAAAAACATTGAAAAGGTACGGAGTCCCCTTAAGCAAAAGCAGCTCTTAAAAGTTTGGTTTTACATTCATACAGAATACGTAGAAGTTCTTCACACAGCTATAGATATTTTAATGCTATTTGGAGCAAGTTAATTGAAAAATATTTCTGAACGCATGTGGCAGCAAAATATAGGAACAAATTAAATCCAGAATATGAAGTGCGACTACAGATAACTTCAGTAGTTGAACAGTTTCTGTAATAAATAAGCACACCCCTATCACTAAATATAATGCAAAGGTTGCAGACACCTGGAGCATGAGTTAATGCTATTAATGAATAAATTACTTTCATTTGATATTAAATAAAAAAAATACAGCACTTTTTTTACTTAGCTGTATATAAAGTAACCTATAACTTATTGACCTACTTTAAATATTATGTTAAAATATATTCCTTTAAGGGTGGGATGGGGACTTCCAGAAAAACATTGTAGTTATAAGGGTTACACGAATCGACAAATTTTACTACTGTAGACTATGCGTTTGTCACGGACGTCAAAAAACGGCTCTTTTCTGAAACGAGAAAGCAAGGAAATTGTGGTTTCTTTTCAAAGAACTGATGTGGAACACACAGATCCAGGGTTATGATGAACCTTGTGATGATGAACCTAGCTTGTGATGTATATCCAGGGCATGGTTGATTTTCAGAGCTTATGTCTCCATCCCGAAAATAATCTGTGATACATGCTGTGATAAAACGCTTTCTTCCCATACACTTGACGAATGTTTGGGCAATCTCGGTCAGCAATACTGTCATACTGCCTATATCAAAATTGTACAGCGAACAATTGTCTGATATTCTCCTCATCCCTTGTCTTTTTAAACCGTTTGGAATTTGTTTACCGAATGAATAACTGTTACAAGAATGTTGCTTTTATATACGAGTATTATCTGCCTACACATTTTATTTGTCTGAATATTCCAATCATCACAGAGTCAAGTACGAAGTAAAATCTACTCGTTAATTTCAGTCTATTTTTCCTCTTTTGCATGATCCCAATAAAACTAAAAACATTAAAATTTCAGATGCTGGTAATGATGCTGCCAAGGGAATTAAGCACATCATTGAAGTCGTAGCTTAGACAATTTGAATGAACTTAAATAATGAATATTTTGATGAGTTTTTTCTCTTGCGTTTTAACTAAATTTAAAATCTATAATATAAGGGCTTTTTTATGTTTTTTCTTATTTACTAAGTCCTGTTCTTTGTATTTTAATATAATTCGCTTAGTATTAGGAAATTAAAAGTGAAGGATTTAAAATGTTCTTTTTCTACATTATAAGGCATTTCTCCCGCCTTCATAGCATGCTTTCGTGGTGTAATGATCAACGCACTCGACGCGTATTCGACCGGTAGGAGGTTCGAGTCCCAGAGAGGGCACTGCTAATTTTTCACGTCTCTCAGCATCAAAAATCCTAATGTCTCTACAACATTATTATCTACTTTGCAATTAAATCCTAATTTATTAAAGTAACAGTATTAAAAAACCGTCAGTATTTTACTTTAATAGTCGTCTTTCGTCTTGAAGAACACTGAAGAAGATAAATCTATTTTGCAAATCGATAATTTCTATCATCTATAATTAACTTCTCTTAGACGACAGTTTCTACACGAAACCAAAATCAAGCAGAACCTTTTATTATACATACTACAGTATAAGATTTTCCCTAGCTGTTTTACATTCTAACTATTCTTACTTGTGTAGCATCCATGCACAGATATGCAGTTTTATGCTGCCTGCGAATCTATTTTCATTACGTATTTTTTGAAAATACAGTTCTTATAGTTTTGGAGACATAAAAATACGGATGAGCTGAGCACTGACAAAGCTAGAATGAATTGGTTGAGAGCTTTGGGTCACTGCATGCTTGTACGTCAGTCAACGTGACTAGAATGATGATGAGAATCTCACACGTTGATAAGCTAACAAACCAAATGAAATACTGTATCGGGAAACGTAAAAGGTAGTAAGTTATTTTGAGGTTAATTCAACATATTGGAATTACCTGAAATAATTGTCGGTTTAAATTTTAGTATTTAGACGCTAATGAGTTTGAATTGCAAAGCATAACCAACATAAATTTCTTGCAAATATCAACTTGCGAGGAATTTAGATAGAAAATAAATATAAGTTTGAATTTTTTCCTCTATGTTTTTATCGTTATTTTTTATGTTTGTTTAGATTAATATTTAGCGAGCGAAATTTAAACTTTATTTTATTTTATGTACTAATTTATTTTTATTTTGTTGTTAATATTTTTTAATTTTGTTAAAAAAGCATTTTGGCCCATCAGCTGCTTTCAGACCGTACACTCAGCCCTCATTTGGCTTTGAGACCACTGATCTAGTGAAAGTCTGGCGAAACCATCGCGAGCAAAAACTTCGTGGAGAAAGTAAAACAAAAAGAAACGTCGTGGTAAGATAAAAAGCAAATTTGACAGATCTAAAATATCACGATATAAAACAGGGCCGTAGAACATAAACGGAGGTATAAAATTTTGCAGTTAGAAAACATTGTCGGAGGTAACTTTGTGGTAGAAAATTAATCACCTACACAATATAGAGGGACAAACATTTCTCAAAAATGTGAATTTTTTGTGTCTAAGACAAACCACAAATTTTCTCAGAAAATCAGCTCTAGTTTTTGAATGATTTATAGGACAATAAATTCTTTCCTGATTTTCATATAATTAATTTTCACCGAATATCTTAAAAATATGAAAATCGCGCGTTACTTATGTACGACACGAACAGGGAGATCAAAAGATACTAATGAGTAATCTCGAACTACACATCAAATTAATGTCTAACATTCACAGCGTAAAAAGCATTTCAGCGTATTTTACATTTCGTCTATCAATAAAAATGCAGTGATCTGTCTAATTACGACCACCTCCCCAAAATGACTACTTCAGAAAGTAACTAATATTTCTGACATAAATTAATATCTCTGTTAAAAATAATATCTCTGTTAAACATATTTTCTCCAAGATGAACGCTTTCACAGGGGAACAAAATCTTCGGAACCTGAAATGGTCATCTCAGAAAGGGTTCGTTGTGTTCAGAATAAAACTGCTTTCGTAAAAATATGTTCAAAGAATTCGGAATGTCTTCGACGCATAAAATTCTAATTTCTGCGATGTTTTGATGATGCATTATTTCTTACCTAGACATTTTATACAACGATTTTTCGAAACTAAGAAATTTTTCCATGACCTTATTTTCTACGACCTTTCCGTGTTGGATGATGTTTTCTTACACAATGTTTCTGTCAATAACTCAGGGGAAGGCCAGCAACTCCAATTCATCGCAGATTAGTCCAACTAGACCTGGTTTGGGTTCCATCCCAGACGAACGGGATGGCTGCATGTTTCGTTTTCGTTGTTTTCCACATATACAACGTGAATAGAAACCAATTTTCTTCGAAACATCCTCCATGAAGACATTCCTTTTTCTTAGGCAGATAGCCGTCTTATTCAAATAACCTAACCCATAATCAGATATATTCAAATAACCTAATGCACTGCATATTGCACAATAAATTATAAAAAAATACAGCATAAGAGAAAGTGCTCTACACAATAGTGCTTTCAGTTTTAAGACAAGCGAACGTATGTTCATCATGATAAAGACCAAGAAGAAAGTCTTTACTGTCTCATGAAATCCTTCAAATTATTTGGCGGAATTTTCTCAAAGGTCCGATTTCCATGCCAAAAGCATACAACTTTTGATATGTTATGAGAGACGTTTTAATTAAAAGGCAATTTACTACGCAAATAATATTATTGCATGCTTACAAAAATGAAATGAAATTGAAAACTCAATTTAAAGTGTATGGTAAAAAAATTCTTTAGCTTGCGAAAATATTTTCTTCTTGTAACAATGAGTGCTAAAAGCATATATAGATTAAAATTTTTACCTGCTTCTTTTTCCTCCAAAATATAAGAAATAGAGCTGGTCCTATGTTTAATTAAAAATTTAATATTATTGACAATTTATTGACAATTTGGCACATTTGTAGTGAATCCTGGGTATGATGTTTTGAAGTTTCGTACTGGAAGAAGAAAAAGTGGTAAATTTCGTTTTGAATCAATACCAACTATTCCGATATCCTAAGTATTTGTTTGCAGTCCTTTTTTATTTGTTTAACAAAGTGATACAAACGTTTTAATATGTATAACAGCTGTAACTATAACGCGCAAAACTTTTGCATATTGACAACCCCCATATTACGAACATTTTACGCTTCGAACGACCATTTCTAACATGAATTAGTTCGTAAAATATTACACGGTTCCCTGCGCATATTTCCTAACGATATTTCGGGATATAATAACTATAAATACTATCAAATACACAGTTAAAATACTAAAACAAACAATTATTACATTTCAGATTTTTAAATAAATAAAAATTTATACATTAATACAGTTTTATTTTACTATACAGTACGAACATATGCTGATGGAGGTTAGGTTAGGTTATTTAATTACGGCAAAGCCTCGAGGGCTATCTGCCTAAGGGGAGGGATGCCTTCGTGGAGGTCTTTCTAAGGGAAGCTGGCTCGTTACACATCGGGAAAACCACGAAAACACCCATGTAGCCAACCCGTTCGCGGGATTCAAACCTCGGACCGAACTACCAGTGTTCAGCGACTTTACCGCTCGGCCGCTGGTGGGCCCCTATGCTGCTGGAATGAAGACTGGACTAATAGATGTTTACATAGACTGGAGTGAATCAAGGTCTGTATCCCCCTCTGAAGACTCATCGACAAGTAAATGGGACATTTCTAATGTCCTCTCTACTTGACATTAGGCTATATGAGAGGTGGAATGATCTAGCATGTTATACAGGTCAACAACCCCGATTTCTAATGTCTCATTCTTAAGAAATATGTATCTAAAATTAACTGAAGAGGTTTTTCTCTTTCTTTCGACGTAAACAGTGTATGGAAGCACTGTATGATATCACGCACTACAGATTTTGCTTTAGCAAATCTCTCAGAATTTGGTTATTCATAAAAGTGAGGCTCCGAGATCTTTTCGTTTCCAAACAAATTTCACTCTTTGAAAACAAGTTTGTTTGTGTATGTAAAAGTTAGTAAAGTGTTGGGCATCTGTATATTAAAACGTCTTTCCTTTCATATCATTTTTATTTTTTCTTTAGAAACTATTTACCTCCCCAAAATGACTACTTCAGAAAGTAACTAATATTTCTGAGGACATAAATTAACATCTCTGTTAAACATATTTTCTCATAAAGTAGTTACTTAATAAATTGTAATCATAGAATGATCTCTTATTTTCACAAGAAATGTTGCGTATCAGCACGAGAGATAGCTTTTAAAAATATTCCTTTCCAATGCTTTTTATAAACTTTGTTTCATATTCAAAAATAATGTATCACAGTAATTATAATTCCTAATTTATATGACAGATGGCTTTATATTGCCCATTTAAACGATATGAGTGAGTATCATGTGCAAAAATTTAACCTTACCTGCTCTCAGTCTTTGCTGTAGTCTAGATTGAAAATGCAGGAAGTAACTGATGTCGGCAAATTCAATGAATTTATCCCAATATAACAATGCCCACTCAGGAATTGTATAATTATTATCCTTCTGCAATTAAAAGGAAGCATAAATATTTTTAAAATCCAGTTTATGAATTATATAACAAGGTTGGTTTATTGTTCGAGTCAAGCTTAAATTCAACTCATCATTATACAATTGTAGAATGTAAATAGTTTTCCAAAATTTTTCAAATAATTCTTTCCAAAATGAAATTTTATTGCACTTTCTAGCTATTAATACAGTAAACCCTTACCAAGCGCGAATTTGAGGAACGCGATTTCGTATTATTTGCGTTATTTTAGTTGTTTCTGTTTAATTTGTCCAACGTTATAATTTCATTTATACGCAGTTCATCGGATCCTCATCAACACTGCATGCTTAATGGCATCATCTCCGGCCCGAAGTTGCCAACAATTTTAAAAGATTTGCATTGATCGAAAATGACGCCAGAGAAATTGTACAAATTGAAAATTCAGTTGGTGGCGAAGTATTTTCAAATACTGAAGAAGTCAAAGAATTTATCGAAAAATCATGAATGAAGAACTGGATGATCTTATTAAAGGAATGGTAAAAAAAAATCAGAGGAACTATCTGATTATGCACACGTGATAGATCCAGCTGAATAAAGAAGAAAACATTTCATTAGAGGCATTGAAAGGTCTGCACTCTTTGCTTCAAAACTTAGAGTTGCGCCAGTCATTATATCAAGCAAAATCACCAATCGTTTTTTAGAAAATAAGTATATCAAAAACTTAATTAAGCAGTAACAAAAACCCTTTCAATTAACACGTGTTCCTCTTTCCCCTTTTAATTGTAACAATATTTGAGTATATTTAAATTGGACATTCTTTCTTAATCTGAATTATAACCTAACACATTTTTTCCATAGAAAGTTAACTATGCGGAATGGGATTTTGCCATACGCGCCATGTATTAATCATGTAAACCATGCGTTCGGCAAGACTTAATTGTATATCCGGTTTATAATTGAAAACCTTTCTATTGTAAAGTGGGTAATCTTCACAGACGTAAGGTGTAGTGTTTAAAAATAGCTTTAAAAAGTTTAGAATCTCATGGCCCGTAACAGTATGGTAAAGTTGTAAATATATAATTCTAATGCATGTAACCATAGCTGTCAACTCTTCTGGTTTACCAGAGACTCCCGGTTTTGTATCACATTTTCCGGTTTCCATGTAGATCTCTGAAAAAACATGATTTTAAATTTTTAGCCTTCACTAAAAAACATTTCTGAGGAAAATATTTTCTAATAATAAATAAATGTATTTAATTAATAGAACTTTTGCCCTTATTCCCTTCCCCCATCTTTGTGATTTTCAGCAAAATGTTTCTTATTAAAATTTATTTTATCTGAATGCCTGAAGATTCAACCTATGTTTAATTCACTTATACAGTGAAAATCGTTTAACACGAAACTGAGGGGACATATTTCTTCGTGATAAAGGATATTGAATATATATATATATATATATATATATATATTCATAAGTTTATTAGAGTACATTTTATTTACATAGATATGTCCAGATATCAATTGATTTAATCGGAGTCTATTGAGACATTTTTTCCCATTAATTACGTTGATTAGTTCATGTGTTTTCCTGCCTTGGGGAATAGAGTTCCATTCATTCTGACAGATTTATTTTCTTGTATGCTTCATTTTTTAAGATACGACTTAAGCCGTTTTAAGTTCATATCTTCGGAATCAGGAAAAGTAGCTGCATCCTTAGCAAGAAAGTCGGGATCTTCGTGTTTTTCATTCTCTGCATGTGTCTTCACCAGCCAAGCGAAATTTAAATTCGGCTATTTTCTTAGAGGAAATGAAAGATTTCTTATGCTATTGGAGGAAAAGGATATTTTAAGTTTGCTATTGTATGTACGAAGAAAGAGAATCTGATTTAATTTTGAGCTGACTGTATTTATTATTAATTATAATTTCTATTGTCTTTTTTAACTGCTAAAATTTCCGCTTGGAAAACTGAATTTTCTGGACACATGCGTCTTTTCCTGGATATTTTTAGATTTTTGGCTTTGTGGAAAATACAGATTGATCCCTTGAGAGTTAAAAGTTGTTCGGATCGTAAGTTATTCCGTATACGGAAATTTGATTCCTAAGATGTAATATTTCGATTTTAAACGCTTCTAGCTCTGATAGAAGAATTCAGGAGAGTTCACTCAGTGCAGCTTTAGAAGTGGTACGGGTAAATTTTGTTATGTTGAGGAGAAATGGTCTTTGAATGGCAGGGAACTGTTGTTTCTTCCTATCTGTCATAGGGATAGTTCAGATAGAAGCTCTATAATTAACAATTTTCTCTATCATAGTATTGAACAGAAGCTTCCGGTCAATAGGATTTAAGTCCTAATTATATCCCCTCCTTGGTTTTCATGGAGATGGCTATTTTTGAAGTTTTTATAATAGTATTTAGAAAATTGTTCTATTTAGCTGAGTTTTCTATCTATTATAATTGTAAAAAATTTCAATTTATTTACAGTATAGATTCTCCTTCCATTAATTTCGAAGGCTGGTTTTCTTTGTATGGTTTGGTCAGGCTTATGAAATGTCATTGAAATTGGTATTTTTGTCCGAAATTGTTAGTTTTTGCGCGTTATATAATTGACGTGAGACTGTGAGAGTATGATTGGTATTATCTCTATTTTCTTGTTTTTCAAGAGATGATGAATGCGACGACATCTGCGAATGTCAAGATTTTGTATGATTCGATCAGGAAAAGGGAAAAGTGGACGGAACACCAGAACATAGTCAGTAACTTTTACAGGTATTGCTCCACCGCACTACTGTACCCGTTGGGCGTTCGATTGACTCGCATCGGATGCCAGCCTGACAAGATATTAACATGGAAATTTTACTTTAATTCTAGACTTACGTCTTGAATATACAATTACAAAAACACGGTATAGAATTATTGCAACGAGATTAATAGACTAACAAAAGTTCGATTATAGCAGATTAATATAACATCATTACTTCGAACATACATCATACAAACATTCATTGTACATTGGCTATATTACTTCATACAAACAATATATTTACATTAGTATATCTAATTACATTAAACATCTTTTTAAGGAACTAATTAGTGACGAATCTTTTGTGCATCTTTTAGTACGTTTTCGTATTCCTAAAGCAAATTATCTTGTTATACATTTCCTTTCATTTTTTTAACATGTTACACACATTTGCATCAGCACTGAAGTATTGCATTATTTTTGTAAATTAATGTATCACAGATACAGAAAATATACATGATTCGATCATTAATGTGATCTGATAGAGTTAAAGGCAAGAATTAAGAGATCCAGAGCGTTCAAACAGGATCATTGTGAACATCCTCTTGTACGGCGCTTTGCTATTTTAGATGATAATTCATTAGTTGAAGAGATATTTTTAAATAATAATAAAGATGTTTATTGGGGGGCTTATCGGTCTGAGAGCTTGAAAGATGGCAAGCCACTAGAAGAAATGAAATGCCTTTGTATTTTGCCACCAGAAGAAAAAAACTGCCAGTAGGAGGTTGATGTGTCTACATGAACACGGAATCTGCTGGATCGTGGCCCTTTTTGGACATAATGATGATCTTTTATGCTTTAAAGACGGGGAAAAAGACTAATTAAAGACATTCATTGAGCAAATATGTAAATAGTGAGGGTGAGCCCTTTGAATTAGTTTTATGATTTTATTTTTTATCCTGCTAACCCTGATGCTTTTTTACGTCAAAGGATCTTGACTGTATTGTGTATTTCTTTAAAACAGTGGTCTTCCTCGGAATTTGGAATGCTTTGATCTCTGGTGAGTGAAGCTTGTTCTGATGTGTCGTTTTCAGAACAGTCCTCTATAAAAACAGAATCCATTCTTTCTTTTAACGAGAACAATGTTGCGTGAACTGATATGTTTGAAAAATTTGGGCTATTGTTGGCTAATGTGATTTGATTTGATGTAAAACTTTTGCTATTAATATTTTATGGAGAATTCCATAAGGATGAGTATTGTTGCTGCAGATTAGTATTGCTTCTTTCCAAATCTTTAACTTGGCTTTTATTATTTTCCTTTTATAAATAAATTTTCGCTTTGCGTAATCTAAATATCTCTTTTTCCATCTTCTTCTGAAGGAGAGCTTTTTATCTTTTTTTCTGAATGTTTTGGTTCTGTTTCTTGAGGCATATAGTTTGGCTATCTACCCAGTTAGCACGAGTTTGGATACTCGGATGTTTGATTTTGAAGTTTTCATTGCAGGTCTTTCGTATGAGGTTGTTAAAGTTTGTGTTGTGTGTACATTTCTTCGACTCTGTTTGCCCTTTTGATATATTCATGTATTAGAAACGAAGGTATTGAGGAGCAGAATAAATTTGTTTTGGTACTATGTGGCACCCTAAAGCGCTGGGCATGATTTCAAAGACACTATGTTTATCAACAGATAAGTATTCTTCCTATTCCTGTTCGAAAACTTTCTAATTAAAGATGCTGTTGCAAAGATAGTGAGATGTCGGGCCATCCTCTGCCTGAAGAAGTTTCGAAAGGGGACAGGCGTTGTTATTATTACATATACATACGCTGTTAGCAGAAATAAAGTCTTCTAATAGATCACCTCTGCTACTATTGTGTTGGTATCCCCATATTCGGATATGGGCATTTAAGTCGCCCGCTATTAATTTTGGAGATGATTAGAAATTCTTTATAAAGAAATCAATTTTCTGCAGGTTCAAACTGAAGTCTTCTTCTGTAGATAAATAATCATATTATAAATTGCTCAATAGCCTGAATCATGAATTATAAATTTAGGTCAATTATAAGCCAATTAGAAGTTCTCCTGAAATGGCGTCCCCAGACAGAACGAAAACTTCCTGGCTTTCGAGCGAGAACCTCTTAGATTTACAATTTGAGAGTTGGCAGTTGTAATGCAATTTACTTTTAATTTAATACCTTGTAGTAAAAGGGTTTTAATTAATATACAAAATACTATTTATATCAATATCAGTAAACGTTTGATAATCCGAAATCCAGTAGTGTGCTATATCCGATAATTCTGTGCATGTACTTTCTACTTATATGCCGTCATAGGTCACTTCGACCATGCCATTTAGCAACATTACTCGATAATTGTCTGCTTATCGGTCTTTGTTCCCAAGTAACAAGTAATAAAAATAATTCTAAAAAATATGGACGTCCTATGAACCCAGAACCACTTAAATCACTCAGAAAGTCCAGAACCACTTAAAACTGAAGACATCTAAGGAGTTTTTGAGTTTGTAACGAAGGACCTTCCCTTTATGGAAAACTATCAGTTGGGCATTTTTGTGGCCTGCGAACTCCTATCAAATAATTTTTTTCCTCCTTTGAGTCATTCTCTGAATGAAGGAGCAATTCAGAAATTTAAGTGCAAATGCAGGCGTTCTTTGAATAAAATTTATTAAAATATGAATAGCAATATCAAGAATTTGCAAGGGTGGTCTTTATAAATGCAATATTAACTATGGCTACTGCTTAGATACACGTGAGAAGCATGGCTTTATAGGAAGTTTAGCGAAAGCTTTTGTCGAATGTTACGAAGCAAAATTCTTTTAAGAAATGGACAAAATCTCTGTCTCTACTAAATATAGAACAGCAGTGAACGAATCAGTAGGTTCATCCATGCCATTAATTGTGAGTACCAAGATTTATTAATTTTTAGTTAATAAATAAAGATAATACAAACTCTTAGCGCCTTTTTATTAAAAACAAATATTAAAGTTATAAAGTATTTTCTCTCTCCTTTCTGCCTGCCTCGTGGTGTAATGGTAGCACATTCGGTGTGTATTCGAGAGGCCCAGATTCGAGTCTCTGCGAGGGCACTGCTCGTTTTTCCCTTCTCCAGCATCAAAATAACCTAATGGCTCTATAGTGACGCCCGAACTAAAAAGCGGTGGATGATGATTCTTTACCAACAGGATATTGCGATTGGATCTATTAATCCCCAGTGGCCCTTTCAAGTATAATTTTATAGTATAATTTTAAGTATAATTTTACAAGGGAGTATAATTTTATCTCTCTCTTCTGCATGCCTTCGTGGTGTAAAAGTAGTGTGGGAATCGTGCCTCAACGAAGCACCAGATGTGCACCTGGACTCTGTAGGAACTCTCCAGGTAAACACATATTTACTTGGTTCGAGAAGTCCGACAGAAGTGGTCTAACAGAACTCTCGCGAAGGAGCTACAACTAGATGCTTACTGGTCGCGCGCAGGCGATCAGACTTGGAACTTATCTAAAGTGACCGCACGTAGGTGGTCAGCTGTGACTTTTACATCTCCATATGAACCGTGTGATT